GAAGCTCCAAACATTAGCTAGGCCTCTTCTCTATTCGATCAAGGCCTTTTGGCGCTGCTGCTCGGGCCATTAGACACTCCAAATCCTCCATGGGCTTCGTTTACTCGCTTACCGGACATGTCTCGGTAGAAAATAAGTTCTAGGCCTCATAGTTGATCCAAATGGCTTCATTCCACTTCGACGTGATGCATGACTCAAGTATCTATCTTTCCATATCAAGATCGTAACTTTTGGACGTCGGGAACTCCTCCGCGCGCGGCCAAACTTCCGAAGCTTCGTTCTGCGCGCTAGCGAGAACTAACACTTGGAGATAAAATGATCTTCTTGACTTGGAAACTTGCATGGATCTTGATTTAGGGCTCTTTTACTCCTTTTTGCATCCTTTTTGATTTTTCACCTACAAAGACTTCAAATCCCACAAATACAAGAAAACTACCTCTAAAGGCAAAGAATCTTGCAAAAACCGTTTGAAAACATAGTAATTATATAGTAAAATCATGTAAAATATGGTGATATCAACTCCCCCAGACTTAGCCTTTTGCTTGTCCCCAAGCAAACTAAGCAGGAAAAGAGGTTTGAAAACGTGAGAACTCTCAAATCTTTTGGAAATCCAAATTGACTTATGCTTTAGTAATCCACATGAAACAGCATTGGCAAGTTTTGAATTAAGAACAAAGTACATACCATGAGTTTTGCGATTTTCCCAAAGCGGTCCACCTCTCCTTGGACAATCCAATTCGCCACCCTTGACTCCTTTCATTTCTAAAGGTGTGGTCTCAACTAGGGAGTATCGATCAGCCGGCTTTTAGACTCTTCTCATCCCCTTGTTTGGCACTTGTCTTTTACTCCATGTTTCTCCTCTCTCTCTTCTCACTTCTTTGAGTTGATTCATCCCTTTTTTAGGGTAGCGAAGTATTTTTTTATTCAACTCCTTCTCTTTATTATAGAGGTTTTGCTTGGATCTTCCACAGACGCGAGTATTGATGGTGTTTGCCACCGAATCCCCGGTTGCTTGGATTCATAGGCCTTCCATAGACGCGAGTATTGATGGTGTTTGCCACCGAATCCCCGGTTACTTGGACCTTACGCTTTTTCTTTAAATTTGAAGGGGAGAGAGAGGGAAGCACGAACTCACTAAGACTTTTTCATTTGATGGAGAGGATGAGGAATCATGCCATTTGTATGCCAAGCCCCTAGCTGAGAAGATTAAGTTCATTAAGGGCGGAGTCAAAGATGGATCCTTCTCAAGTCTTTAGAGATGTAGGCGTTTTTGGTAGATCGATCAACTCATAGTGCACCTGTGGTAAGATGTATTGCCAAGAACTGCTCAATGGTCACTTAAACATTAGTACAACATGGTTAGATCCAAGATAAGGTCATGATTCTCGACAAAAATTTTGACTCAATAAAAACGACTCGATAAAAGGGAAAAAATGCAAATGAAAATGCCAAAATGAACAAACATTGTTAGTAATCCCCCCAGACTTAACTTGCACCGTCCCGGTGAAATCAAATCGGATTAAGAGAGGCATAACATGAAGTTCAAATGAAAAATTGAAAAGAAAAAGGTTTAGGATGATGTTACCAAATGTCGACCAATTTATAATGAAGATCAGTTCCGGTTTGGGTCATTCTACACTTCTTTAGGCAATATTGGTCGGTGAGTTTTTAATTTCAGGCCTTGGTTTCCGCCGGTTTGTGTTTTGGCCGAGATTGGTATATTCGGTCGGCCAAAATGTGGTGCTGTGAACTACAGAACAAACCGTCAAAATTTCATGACCTATATTGAAATTTCATCGACCAACCTGGTATTTTATGCCTCTGGTGAAGTTTGGGAGCATTTGTACGAGCGGATTGAGACTTCCTTCACAAAATGGTCAAGTCGGCTCCGGGAAGGAGTTTCCTTGGCCATGTGAAGTTTGGCTCGTTCCTTTTCGTTTCTTCCTGCATAAAAGTGTTAGTTAAGCTCAAAGAAGAGTTTTCCAACCGGTTGGCGCGCCTATGCCGTGATTTGGTTTTGTCGGCCATATTGCTTGCGCGCCATCGGCCAGAATGAGCTCCGTCGTCTATCTCATGATCCGTGATGATTTCTCCGTCCTATCTTTTGGATTTGCCGACCAAAATGTGATTTTATGGTCGCCTGTGAAGTTTGGTGGACTTTGGTCACGCCGTTTAGGAGTTGGCCGTAATTTGGTCTCCTTGTGCGCGGTATGGCCGAGAGAAATGTCCGGATTGAATTTCTTCAAATCCACTCGGGCCAATTGAGATTTTCTTCGACCGAATTGTTTTAATAACCCTCCTGTGTCATTCCCAAGTGGTGGCCGCCTTGTTTCGTGTGATGGCCTTGTATCTCCTTTTAACCTCCCTTTGGCCGCCATATGCATGTTGGTTTTGAGGTGGTTATAGGTTTGCTTATTTCTCCTTCCTGTCAAATGGTTAACTCCTTGCAAAACACTTGAAATCATGATTAGATGGTTTCTCAGATTGTGATCCTCAAGTGACCAACTTGAAGTTCACAATCCAAGAGATTAAAGCACAAACTATAAATTCTTATTTGGTCTTGGTCAATGATCCAAATTTCAAACTATAGTTCAATCTCTTGTAATTTCAGTGAGCAAATGAGTTTTGACAAGTGATTATGTATTCTTTCCAATCATCAAAAGTAAATCAAGTTAAACCATGAAATATATTTGATAAAGTGCAATGGTTTAAACGATTTTTCAAGTGAAGATCAAGAGTGATTAGAAATGAATACTAGGTGAGAGTTTACTTACCTTTTGGAAGAGAAACGCCTTGTACAAGGGTGGGCTCATTGGGTGGGACACTTCCATTGTTTGGTCTCCTTTGGGTCTTCATCCTAAGAAAATATTTTTGTATTTTTGTTTGATTTTTGAAAAACTCCTGCAAAATAGAAATAATAGTTAAAAACCATATGGGTTGCCTCCCATAAAGCGCTTTTGTTTTAAGTCATTTAGCTTGACTCCTTCTCTTTCTTATTCTTGTGGTGCATCGGCCAAAGGTATGATTTCCTCTATTCCCTTTTCCGAGTTGGCTAGGTATGGTTTTAGCCTCTGACCGTTTACGGTGAAGTCTCCTCCACTAGGGTCCCAAAGAACCACTGCTCCATATGGCTTGACTTCTTTTATCTTGAACGGGCCAGACCATCTTGAGCGTAGTTTGCCGGGAAAAAGCTTGAGTCTTGAGTTGAAAAGCAGAACCTGGTCGTTAGCGGCGAAAGACTTAGGCACTATCTTCCTATCATGGAGAGCTTTGGTCTTTTCTTTGTAGATTTTGGTGTTCTCGTAAGCCAAGTGTCTTATCTCCTCAAGCTCGTTCAGTTGGATCAGGCGCCTCTCCGCTGCGGTTTTAAGGTTAAAGTTTAGCTCCTTGACCGCCCAAGCTGCCTTGTACTCTAGTTCCACCGGTAGATGGCACGCTTTGCCATAGACAAGATGAAATGGAGTTGTCCCGAGAGGTGTTTTGAAAGCGTTCTATACGCCCAAAGAGCGTCATCTAGCTTGGCTGACCAATCCTTTCTATTTTCCCGGTTGTCTTTTGTAGGATGCTCTTCAATTCCCTGTTTGAAATCTCCACTTGGCCGCTTGTTTGTGGATGATAAGGGCTTGCTACCTTGTGCCGCACTCCATATTTCTTTAGAAGGTTTGCAAAGATCCGATTGATGAAGTGTGAGCCTCCATCACTTATCACAACTCTTGGAACTCCAAATCTTGGGAATATGATAGATTTGAACATTTTATCACCACGCTCGAGTCATTTGTTGGAGCTGCTATTGCCTCAACCCACTTGGAGACATAGTCCACTGCTACTAGGATGTATTGATCTCCAAAGGATGTGGGGAAGGGTCCCATGAAATCAATTCCCCAAACATCGAACACCTCAACTTCCAAGATAAAGTTTTGCGGCATTTCATTCCTTTTGCTTATGTTCCCCATTCTTTGGCAAGCATCACAACGTGAGATGAATGCTTGAGCGTCTTTAAACATTGTAGGCCACCAAAAACCCGCTTGCAAGACCTTAGAGACTGTCTTGAACGTAGCAAAATGACCTGCGTAAGCTGATCCGTGACATCCATGGAGAATCCCGGCTATCTCTTCCTCCGGCACGCATTTTCTAAACAATCCGTCTTGGCACTTCTTGTAGAGGTATGGCTCGTCCCAGAAGTAAAATCTGATGTCTTTCAAGAATTTCTTCTTCTTGTATCCATAGAAGTTTGGAGGCTCTATGTCGGCCGCGAGATAGTTGGCTATATGACGATACCAAGGCGCGCCAAAGGCATTTCTCCTCTCCGTGGTCGCTTTTGGTGGGGTCTCTTTCCTCGACATAGGTACTGCGCTTACCGCATAGACCGTTTCCTCTGGTAATGAGTCATCTATAGGTATGCTCTCTTCGATTCTCATTCTTGAAAGATGGTCGGCCACGCCATTCTCCGCGCCTTTCCTATCGATGATCTTTAGGTCAAATTCTTGCAAAAGAAGTATCCAGCGTATAAGTCTTGGCTTTGCATCTTTCTTTGACAGCAGATACTTGAGAGCCGCGTGATCGGTATGCACTATAACCTTGGAGCCAACGAGATATGAGCGAAACTTCTCGAATGCAAAGACAATCGCCAATAACTCCTTCTCCGTGGTGGCATAGTTGCATTGTGCCTCGTCGAGGGTCCGGCTTGCATAGTATATGACGTGGAGTTTCTTCTCTTTCCTTTGGCCTAACACAGCTCCAACGGCGTAGTCGCTTGCGTCGCACATAATCTCAAAAGGAAGCTCCCAATCCGGTGATTGTACAATCGGCGCGCTAATGAGAGCTTCTTTGATTTTCTTGAACGCCGCGAGGCATTCTCCACTGAATTCAAACGCCACTTCTTTGCAAAGTAACTGAGTGAGAGGGCGCGCTATCTTGGAGAAATCTTTTATGAACCTCCTATAAAATCCCGCGTGCCCTAGGAAGCTTCTTACTCCTTGACGTTCTTGGGCGGTTCCAAGTTCACCATTACCTCGATCTTGGCTTTGTCAACCTCAATGCCTCTCTCCGAGATTCTATGACCGAGCACGATCCCATCTCTCACCATGAAATGGCACTTCTCCCAATTTAGCACTAGATGCTTCTCTTCACATCTCTTGAGGACCTTGCTAAGATTTGACAAACAAACATCAAAGGATGTGCCATAAACTGAGAAATCATCCATGAATACCTCCATTATGTCTTCTATGTAGTCTGTGAAGATTGACATCATGCATCTTTGAAACGTAGCCGGTGCATTACACAAGCCAAAAGGCATTCGCCTATACGCGAACGTTCCATATGGACATGTGAATGTTGTCTTCTCTTGGTCGTCGGGATGGATTGGGATTTGGAAAAAACCTGAGTAACCATCTAAGAAACAATAGTAAGGATGGTTAGCAAGCCTTTCAAGCATTTGATCTATAAAAGGTAAGGGAAAATGGTCTTTTCTGGTCGCGGCATTGAGTTTACGATAGTCGATACACATCCGGTGGCCAGTGATCGTTCTGGTGGGTATGAGCTCTTCATTCTCGTTCCTTATGACCGTCACTCCTCCTTTCTTTGGAACTACGTGGACCGGGCTCACCCATGTACTGTCCGAGATAGGGTATATCACTCCAGCTTCCAAGAGTTTCATTATCTCCTTCTTCACCACATCTTTCAGGTTTGGATTTAGTCTCCTTTGATGCTCTATGGAGGACTTAGACTCATCCTCGAGATGTATCCTGTGCATACAAAGTTCTGGGGAAATACCGGTTATATCCTCAAGGGTGTACCCAAGGGCTTTGCGGTGTTTTCTTAGTTCACAAAGTAATAGCGCGGTCTCTACATTTGATAGATTTGAATTGATTATCACCGGGTATGTATTGTTGGGACCGAGAAATGCGTACCTTAGCCCTACGGGGAGCTCCTTGAGCTCGACTTTTGGAGCGCTCAACTCACTCCATGGCTCCTTTGACGGCTTGGATGCATCCCTTGAGGCGTTTGTGCCCATTACTTCTTCCTCCAAGCCAACATAAGCTACCAAGTTCTTGTACGTCTCCGCGTTATCGAGTGATTTGGCTATGTCTCGCGCTTCTCTACTAAAATAGCCTCCTTCTTTCTCCACACGGGTTAGTGCCACTTCTAAGGGGTCGTCCATTATCAGCTCCTCATACACTCCTTCAGACACCTCACTTAAATTGTCCACCAAGAAAGAGAACCCGTCGATAGTTGGCTTTTCCAAAGTTTTGTCAATTTGAAACTTCATTACCAAGTCTCCCAAGTGTAAGTCTATCTTTCCTCCCTTGACATCAATAATGGCGCCGGCTGTGGCTAAGAAAGGTCGCCCTAAGATCAGGGGATCTCTTGGTTCTTGGTCTAGTTCCAGCACCACAAAGTCAGCCGGTATGAAACATTTACCAATCATGACTTGTACATCACTCACGATGCCAATGGGCCGCCTCACCGATCGATCAGCAAAGACCAACTGAATCTTTGTGGGTCTAAAGCTTGTTATGCCAAGGCGCTTGGCCACTGTATAGGGCATAAGATTCACGCTAGACCCTAAGTCACAAAGGCAGCGTTTAAAGATCGTACCTCCGATTTGGCATGAGAGAACAAAGCTCCCCGGGTCGTCAAGCTTCTCCGGGGTTTTGTTTTGGAGGGCTAGGCTACAATCTTCTGTTATCAACATCACTCCCTCTTCTAGACTCAAGTTGCTAGTGAGTATGCTCTTCATATACTTCCTCAATGATGGAATAATCATGCAAGCATCGACAAAAGGGAGCCTTACGCTTAGTTGGCTCACAAGGTCCTTCAACTTTGCTTGCTCTTTCTCTTTCTTGGGCTTCTTCACTGATCCGGGGTAGGGCACTTTTGGCTTATATACGCGCAGAGTAGGTGTTGTTGGCGCGGCGCTCTCCTCAAGATTTGTCTTTGTTTGCTCGCCAGCCGCTTCTTCCACGCTTTCCATATTACCTCCGGTTGAGGTTCTTTCCTTATGAGCTCCGGTGGCATCTCCACTTCGTCTAACTGCGTACCGCTCCTAAGGGTGATGGCCGCTATATGTTCCTTCTTGGGGTTAGCCTCAGTTCGACCAGGGAGGACTCCAAGCGGTTTCTTGATTGTACCGGCTATGTTTGCTATTTGAAGATCAAGCTCCTTGATGTGCGACTCTAGCGACCCAAATTTATTGTTCAAGTCGTGATACACATAGTGTATCTTCTCATTGATCTCCTTGTTCGCCTTTCTCTGTTCACCAATGAACTCATAGATCAAAGCCTTAAGCTCTCCTCCATGGTCCTTAGCGCCAAGTCGGGTTTCAGCCGGATGTTGTATCTCTTGCTTGCTTATGTAAAGCACCTCCCTCTCATCGATGTTGGTCCGTTGTATCTTGCTCTCACGGGGGCTCAAGCGATGCTCCGGTTCTCTCTCCAAAAGCTTAGCGATCATGGACTTCAGCTCCTCAAACTCAACTAGTCCCGGTCTCGCATTGATTGCCTTGATCGTTTCTTCATAGCTCGGTTGATTCTTGCTGTCACTGACCGCTAGGTTATCAATCAATGTTTTGGCTTCCTCTATGGACTTACTCATGAAGTTCCCGTTGCTAGCTATATCAAGATACAGCTTGTGCTCGCGCCTTATTCCCTCATAAAACGTGTTCCACAAGTTTACTTCCGAGAAGCCATGTTGTGGGCAATCTCTTATGTATTCCTTGAAGCGCTCCAATCCCTCATGATACGGCTCTATTGGCCCTTGCTGAAAGCCAACGATCTTGCTCCTCATCAAGCTAGTCCGCTGCTTTGTATAAAACTGACCAAGAAAAGCTTTCTTGAACTCCATCCATGTAGTGATTGAGCGAGACGGGAGAGACTTGAGCCACTTGAGTGCTTTTCCCGCCAAGGTAAAAGTAAAGAGCCGGCATCTCAAGTAGTCGCCCGGAACTCCATTTGCACTAGTTGTGCTGCACAATTCTTCAAAAGAATCGACATGATCCAACGGATCTTCTTCGATAAGCCCGTGGTATTGACTTTGTTTTACCAAAGCAATGACTCGCGGCTTGATCTCAAACTGGTGGCCCTCGTAAGTCCGGATAGGGCTACGGCTTTGGAGAAGCTCTGGTCTAGAGTCACTGTCTCCAACGGTCTCTTGGTTCTCCCCTCCTTGGTGATCGCCTAGGTCTCCTCGGTGTAGCCTATCGGCTCGGTTAAGCTCCGGTCCAAGGCCTTCTCGTGGTATGCGGTCTTGGACCTCGTCCAAAGGCGGCTCATCAAGATGGTTCCTCCAAGGATTTGGTTGCTGGTCACGTATTTCTCCAGCCATGGCACGCTCAAGTTGTGCCTACAAAAAGAACAAAATGATAATAGAGTAAAATGCGCTTTAGTCTAGATTCTCGTCCGATCTTGTAGACAAGAAGGTCCCCGGCAACGGCGCCAAAAACTTGATGCAAGCTGGGTTTGTCTTCAAGTTTTACCCAACTTAAGTACCTGCAAGTGCACAGCAACGAGGTAAGTATAGTATGGGATCGAATCCACAAGGACCTATCGATTGTGCTACAAGAGTAAGAGTTGAAGCAAGCTAAAGCAAAATATGGTTTGAGAATGTTTTGGCAATAATGAATAGATGGAAATGGATGAGATCAATAAGGGGAAACACTAGACAATGGTGGATCGCCGAGATGCAACAAACTTAAACAAAGAAGTCAAGTGAAAGAGATTCATTATAGACCGTTCTTGAACTTAAATCACTAAGATATAGTTTTTCCACTTTCGTGGCTCCAACTACTATGTTTAAACAACCTAATAGACTCAGCTTTCGTTGGTTATTAAAAGTTGTAAACATGCATTAAAGATGTTCAAGATTTAATTGTTCACAATACTCCACAACTCAACTTTCGTTGGCCGTGAACTATCGCTCACCAAATACTAGTTCCGGCAATATAACAAGCTTTTGGAGAGTATATTAACCCTAAGATCCGATGCTAGATGATCAGAAAAGCAAACGGCATTATGCTCAAGTAAAGGTGAAGAACTCAAAGGTTATTCTCAATTCACAAGACTCTCATTTATAGGTTTATGCACTCATTGATCCACCACGGCCTAGTAAGGGATTTACTCGGCCATGGTGCAAACAAACAAACAAGATTTGAATGAAAGCATCATGCGAATATTAAAGAGAAAAAGGGATGGAGAAAGCTTCTCTATTGATGAAAATTGAATCCTTCCTTTTAACTCCAAAATCCGGAAAACGAAATAACAAGAACAAAGATGTAACGATTTTTGTGCGTCGTGCGTGCGGCTTGGATCCGAGGAGGCTTCACTTCTTCCTTTTGGGGGTATTCCTCTTCTTTCTGACGGCGCACACCTTTGACACACTCTAGACTCTCACGCTCAGCGGCTAAAAACATGTATATATGGGCGAGATCGAGTAGGGTTTTCTTCATGCTGAAAAAGGAAAGTTTCTCATGCGCCGAGCCTTCTTCTCCACGTCGTGTATGGGCCGAGATTGTGCTAAAGAAAGCTCCAAACATTAGCCAGGCCTCTTCTCTATTCGATCAAGGCCTTTGGCGCTGCTGCTCGGGCCATTAGACACTCCAAATCCTCCATGGGCTTCGTTTACTCGCTTACCGGACATGTCTCGGTAGAAAATAAGTCTAGGCCTCATAGTTGATCCAAATGGCTTCATTCCACTTCGACGTGATGCATGACTCAAGTATCTATCTTTCCATATCAAGATCGTAACTTTTGGACGTCGGGAACTCCTCCGCGCGCGGCCAAACTTCCGAAGCTTCGTTCTGCGCGCAAGCGAGAACTAACACTTGGAGATAAAATGGTCTTCTTGACTTGGAAACTTGCATGGATCTTGATTTAGGGCTCTTTTGCTCCTTTTTGCATCCTTTTTGATTATTTCACCTACAAAGACTTCAAATCCCACAAATACAAGAAAACTACCTCTAAAGGCAAAGAATCTTGCAAAAACCGTTTGAAAACATAAGGTAATTATATAGTAAAATCATGTAAAATATGGTGATATCAATAGGTGCTCTTGCGGAGATAGTGGATGTTTATTGCCTGAGGGTCAACCGGCTTCTCAAGCGTGATTCCGTAGTTCATGAGGATCGGCATTATGAGTCCTCCACAACTCAGCTGTCCACTGCTTGCCTTGTGCACTTTGTTGAGAGAGAGAGCATACTCCCTGTAGCTGAGGAAGCTCTTGAGAAGATACGTCGGCACGCTGTTCCCTGATCTGTCCCCGACCATCTCAGTCCCATCCGGCAACGTGTGAATCACCTTCTTCATCCCTTCATTTAGGAAGAAGAGCTCCTTTTCGGTGACACCAGTAACGTCTCGCCTCGCATAGATGGTGTGAGCGAGGGACTTGTGGACGTATCGGAGCACGGGGTTCCTGATGTGTGTGCTCTTGGCAGTGCTCGACATGTACTCGCCAACTCCGATCATTGCCCAGAAGGCTTGAAGCTCTGCTTGTGGCGTTCCAGGCTCTGTTTCTCGCCCATCTTTGTGTTCAAAATGAAACACATCCTCCAGCTCCTTGAAACTCATCCGATACTTCCTCTTGTTGATTCGGAAGGAGAACCTTCCACTTCCATGGCCCTCAGGCATGATCTCGTCAGGCTCGTAGAAGTTAACTCGGAGAGTGGAGAGGAACTCGATGGTTTCCTTCTTGTAAGCAGGCAGAGGGTTCATCATCAGCCTCGCAAGCTGCATTTCCTCGAAGAGGTAGTGGCAATCCTGAGAGATCCCAAGTTCCGCCATAGCCGTCAGGTCAGGGTATCTCGTCCCGACGAAAGACATTTGGTCGAAGATCTCGGCATAGTCCTTGCTCTTCATGACCGCTGACCCGCTTTTCCTACTGCCTGAGCCTTCCTCTGTCACCGGTTTCTTTCCTTCCGCCTTCTCCGCCGCGGCTCTCGAGAGAGTTCCTCTTGTTGTGGACACCATTGTTCCTGTGGAACAATCAAAATCTCACAAACAGAGTAAGTACTCTAGCCAAATAATGTCACTCGCAAGGCTTAGTGAAGAAACAGATCAAGCAAGTTGAGATTTGAGATAAAAATCAAAGCTTTAGACAGATCTCAACTAAAAAGGTCGATTAAAACCGGCGGTGAACTCAAATCTCGGAAAAACAGAGACATGCAAAACAGTTTTCAAAAATCCTAAGTCTTTTTCAACGATTTTTGAGAAAAAGCCTAAGTCTTTTCAAAAATCGTTGCATCGTTCTTCTTGATCAGTTTGCTCAAGCTTATCGTCAGGCTGACCGAACACTTCCTTCATCTATACACCTGAGCACTTATAAAACTAAAACAAGAAAGATTAAGCAAAAATAAATATATACAAAGATAACCATGGGACTTCCTCCCAAGTGAGCTTGTTTTGAGTCCCATAGCTTGACTTTCATAACCTTTTAGGCTAAGGGAGCGTCCGGAAGAGGAGTTGAGACTCCTTCTCCTTGAATGCGTTGGCCCAAATACGGTTTGAGCTTGTGGCCATTCACCGTGAACTCCTCGCCATTCTGGTTAAGCAAAGTGACAGCTCCATAAGGAAGGACTTCCTTAATCTCAAACGGGCCCGACCACTTGGACTTGAGCTTCCCAGGGAACAACTTAGCTCTCGAGTTGAAAAGCAGCGCATATTCTCCAACCTTGAAGACCTTAGGCACAATTTTCTTGTCGTGAAATGCCTTAGTCCGTTCTTTGTAAATCTTGGAGCTCTCATATGCGTCCAGCCTGATCTCTTCCAACTCATGTAAGTCGAAACCCCTCTTCTCTTGGGCAGACCTGATGTCGAAGTTGAGCAGTTTGATTGCCCAAAGTGCTCTGTACTCAATCTCCACCGGAAGGTGACACGATTTCCCGTAAAGGAGCGAGAAAGGTGTCCTTCCTATTGGCGTCTTATAGGCGGTCCTGTAAGCCCAGAGAGCGTCGTCCAACTTAACTGCCCAGTCCTTCTTGGTGACTCCCACAATCGTCCTGAGGATCCCCTTTATCTGCTTGTTCGACACTTCCACTTGACCACTTGTCTGAGGATGGTATGGTGTCGCTACCTTATGCTTGACTCCATACTTCTTCAACAAGTTCTCGAAGACTTTGTTGATAAAGTGGCTTCCTCCATCGCTTATTACAACCCTTGGCACTCCATATCTCGGGAAGATGATGCTTTTGAACAGCTTGAGCACAACCTTGGCATCGTTCGTTGGGGAAGCGATTGCCTCGACCCACTTGGACACATAGTCAACTGCCACTAGGATGTATCTATTCCCATGAGAAGGTGGCTCAAAGGGGCCCATGAAGTCGATGCCCCATACATCAAACACTTCCACCTCAAGTATCGGGTTTTGTGGCATTTCATTGCGCTTGGAAATGCTCCCTTCTCGTTGGCATCTATCACACCTTGCAATGAAGTCGTGAGTGTCTTTGAAAAGGCTTGGCCACCAGAATCCGGCTTGAAGAACCTTTGGAAGCTGTTTTGAAAGTCGCAAAGTGACCTCCGTAGCTCGATCCGTGACAATGCTCGAGTATTCCTTCTACTTCCTCCTGAGCTATGCACCTCCTAAACAGACCATCTGATCCTCTCTTGAACAGGTATGGTTCGTCCCAAAAGAAGTGTGAGATGTCCCTGAAGAACTTCTTCTTCTGGTAAGGAGATAGATCGGCTGGACCTCTCCACACACCAAGTAGTTGGCGTAATCTGCATACCAAGGCGCTTCCTTTTCCTCAACTGCCTTCAACTGCTCTAACCGAACTGCCAAACCTACGCTTTTCCCAGACTTCCACCAAGAGTAGCTGTTCCTCAGGCAGAGTATCGTCGATAGGTGCCGGTTCATTTACTCTCATCCTTGAGAGATGATCCGCAACTCCGTTCTCAACCCCTTTCTTATCCAAAATTTCGAGATCGAATTCCTGGAGAAGAAGTATCCATCTCAGGAGCCTTGGCTTGGTGTCCTTCTTTGCCAACAGATGTCAAGGCTGCATGATCAGTGTAGACTATCACCTTTGAACCCACGAGATAACTTCTGAACTTCTCGAACGCAAAGACTACTGCCAAGAGCTCTTTCTCAGTTGTTGCGTATCGTCCTTGGGCATCGTCCATGGTTCTGCTTGCGTAATATATCACGTGGAGCTTTTTGTCTATCCTCTGGCCAAGCACAGCTCCCACGGCGTAGTCACTAGCGTCACACATGATCTCGAAAGGGTAGTCCCAGTTTGGTGCTTGCACAATCGGGGCCGTGACCAAGGCAGTCTTGATCATCTCAAATGCCTTAAGGCACTCCTCGTCAAACAGGAACTCAGTCTCCTTGCACAAGAGGCGTGTCAAAGGACGAGCTATTTTGGAGAAGTCCTTGATAAATCTCCGATAGAAACCAGCGTGCCCAAGGAAACTTCTCACGTCCTTGACTGTCTTTGGTGGAGCAAGCTGACTCATCACCTCAATCTTTGCTTGATCAACCTCTATCCCCTTTTCTGATATCTTGTGTCCCAAGACGATCCCTTCCCTGACCATAAAGTGACACTTCTCCCAATTGAGCACTAGGTTCGTCTCCTCGCAGCGCTTGAGAACCCTGCACAAGTTGGACAAACAAGACACAAAGGAACTGCCATAGACAGAAAGTCATCCATAAACACTTCAACAGTGTCCTCAATCAAGTCCGAAAAGATGACGTCATGCACCTTTGGAAAGTCGCCGGAGCGTTACACAATCCAAAGGGCATACGTTTATAGGCAAAAGTTCCATAGGGACATGTGAAGGTGTTTTCTCTTGGTCATTAGGGTGGATGGGGATTTGAAAGAATCCCGAATAGCCATCAAGGAAGCAATAGAAAGGATGGTTTGCCAACCGCTCAAGCATCTGATCGATGAAAGGCAGTGGAAAATGATCCTTCCTAGTCGCCGCATTGAGCTTTCGGTAATCTATGCACATTCGGTGACCGGTTATGGTTCTGGTTGGGATCATTTCGTCTTTTTCGTTCTTGACTACTGTGATTCCACCTTTCTTGGGCACACAGTGTACCGGCGAGACCCAAGTACTATCCGAGATAGGGTAGATCACGCCGGCGTCAAGCAACTTAAGGATTTCCTTTTTCACCACCTCTTTGAGGTTGGGATTTAAGCGTCTTTGGTGTTCAATAGATCCCTTAGATTCGTTATCAAGGTGAATGCGATGAGTACAAAGCTCAGGAGATATGCCTTTGATGTCCTCTAAAGAGTAACCAATTGCTCTCCTGAACTTCCTCAACTCATTAAGGAGGGAGGTTAATTGGGGTGGGGTAAGTTCTTGGTTCACAATTACGGGATAAGTTGAATTTGGTCCAAGAAATGCGTACCTTAGCCCATCTGGTAAGGTCTTGAGGTCCACCTTTGGGGCTTTGAGCTCGCTCCAGTCATCGTCTGAAGGTTGCTCGAGGTCGTGCTCTGCCTCTACCTTGTGGATTTCCTCAACTCTCACGGAGCGTCCTATGATTTCCTCAACCACGTCATTGGGAACAGTCCCTCTGTGGGAGTCTAAGAGTCGAGCATACTCCAAGGATTCGGTGTTGAAGTAGCTCTTTTCCTCCGCTTTCTCAGTCAAGGTTAGCTGAAGCTGGTCCTCTGTGGCTAACTCCTCTAGATACTCGTCTGCCAACTGATCCAAAGTCTCTACCCAGAAGAGCTGTCCATCAATGGTTGGTTTCTTCATCGATCTCTTGATGTCGAAGCTGAGCTTGAAGTCATCTCCAAAGTTTAGCTCAATCTTCCCTCTCTGAACATCGATGATAGCTCCAGCGGTTGCCAAAAAGGGCCTTCCCAAGATCAGCGGATCCTTGGGTTCTTCATCCATCTCAAGGATAACAAAGTCAGTGGGTATCTCCACGTTTCCTACTCGCACAGGCAAGTCCTCGAGCATACCCACTGGGATGCGTACTGATCTATCCGCAAGTACCAAGGAAACGTCGCACTTTTGATACTTCTCGAACCCAAGCCTTTTAGCTACTGTGAGTGGCATTACAGATACGCCTGCTCCAAGATCACATAAGCTTCGGTTGAATGCCAGAGGACCAATAGAACAAGGAAGAGTGAAACTGCCTGGATCTTCAAACTTCTTCCCAACCACTTTCCTAGTGATGATTGCACTACATTCCTGAGAAAGAACGACCATGCCCTGAACCTCTTTTCTTCTCTCGGTTACAGCGTCCTTGAGAAATTTCTGATAGGGAGGGATGAGCATACATGCGTCCAAGAAGGGCATTGTAATATCAATCTCCTTTATTTGCTTATCAAACAGGGCTCTAGCTTTCTCAAGCTGTTGTTTCTTGAATCGAACAGGAAAGGGAAGTTGCGGTTTGTAAGGAGGAGGAACGAAAGCTGGGGCTTTCTTCTTCTTTTGCACTTCCTCTGGTGCTTTCTCTTTCTCTTGAACTGGTGGTTCCTCTTCAGTCACAGGTGCTGGCTTCAGTTTCAACTGAAATCTCCTCCTCTTGTTCCTCAATGTCCTCATTGACTGGTGCGGGTCCTGTTCTTGGAGGTAAAGCGCGTCCACTTCTCAATGTAATTGCTTGTACGTATTCCTTGGGATTCTGCTCTGCTTTACCCGGAAGTTGACCTTGCGTTCTGGATGAGGAAGCTGTTCCGCCTTTGTGTTCAAGCTGATGGATTCTACTTGTGAGAGCTTCAATCTTAGTCTGAAGGTCGTGGTGCGAGAAGTCGATTCTCCCATTGATCTCAGATAGTCGCTTGTTGAGATCCACGTTTCCGGTAGACTGTCCCTGAAGTAGTTGCTGAAGCATCTGCTTGACTCCAGGTTCTTGCGGACCTTGCTTAGCCTCGAATCCAGGTGGAACAGAGGTGTTTTTCTGATAGCCTCCTTGGTAATTTTTGTTGTACCCATCACGTGGTTTAGTTGGGTACATCTTTCCTTGACCAGACGTGTTGGCTTGAGGAGGATAGACTTGGTCCTGGGGGTTCTCTACATTCGTGCTTCGATAGGACATATTGGGGTTGTTCTTGTAGTAACCCTGGCTATGAATGTAGTTGACGTCCTCAGTGTAAACTCCTCCTCTTGATCGTCATCACGTTCCTCCAGCATGTGTACCGACTGTTTTTGCTGGACTATAAGCAGTTTGTCAAGCTTGTCGTTCAGCACCTTCAGTTCCTTCTTGTGCTTTTCCTCTGCTTCGACGGATCCTCTGTTTGTGCGGTCATGATCTTCGCCGTATGTACCATTGCTCATTGCCATGTTTTCCACCAAAAACAGACCGTCGTCGACGTCTCTGGCCAAGAAGTTGCCTTGGCTTGCTGTGTCAAGCATCTGCCTAAACGAGGCAGTACACCACGGTATAGAGTGCTTAAGAGTGACTCTTGAGAGAAACCGTGGTGTGGGCACTTCGACTGATATCCTTTGAAGCGTTCCCAGGCGTCTGTGAAACTCTCGCCGTGCTTTTGTGCGAAGCTTGAGATGTTGGTTCTGAAGCTTGCAGTTCTGACTGAGGAGAAGAACTTAGCCAAGAAGGCTTTCTTGCACTGATCCCAGCTTGTGATGGACCCTCGAGGTATCGTCTTTTCCCATTGGCGAGCTTTGCCATCAAGTGAGAATGGGAATAAACGAAGTTTGGTTGCGTCTTCGCTTACCCCATTCTGTGTGATCAAATCACATGCTCTGTCAAACTCGTCAAGATGGTCCAACGGGTCTTCCTCAGGTAGACCGTGATAGATCTTTTGTTGGACTTGATGCAGAATGTGCGGTTTGATTTCGAAGTTGTTGTGCACATTCGGCGGGGCTATGCCTTGACGGTTTTCGTGAGTGTTAGGTGCATCGCCGGCACCTATTTGACGGTGAGGTCGCAGAGGTGGATTGTTTCGCTGACCACCTTGTTGTTCCGGTCCGGGTGGGAATCCTTCCTGTTGGGGTTGGGCTGCCATGTCCGGAACCTCTTGTCTTCTGGTTCGCGAAGTAACTCTGCGTGACCGTTTGTTTTGCTCTGCTTTGTCAAGATCGCTTGTACTTAGGAGGTTGTCTCGTCCTTTGGATCTGGTGTGCATACACCTGAGGTCAAAGATGAGAGGTTTCACAGAAAGTTAGCGACTTTAGGCAAGATAGAGCAAAACCGACTTAATCTAAGGTTTTTCTTGAAAACGAAATGCTTAAAAGTCTCCACTTTGGCAACGGCGCCAAGTTGATAAGTAGGATTTTTGTATCAACTACTCTCAATCCATACCACTCATGTCATTGTAGTACTTGAGATGTCAATCCAAGTGGAGATTTAAACTTATCGAAATAAAGAAAAGGCAAAGATCAAGTTTCGATAAAAGATTGGGTTTTGTTTTGTAAAGATCTATGCTTTAAGCTAACAAGATGAAATAAAGATTTAAACTTTAACAATAAAAGATAAAGGAGGCGTCTTGGGTGAGACTTAGTTGGGATCAAACGAGCTCAACCTTCCTTTCTCAACACACCAAGACTCAAGCTTTGTGCTTAGACTTTGGGTAAATCCGCCACTCTCGTGGTCAGATCGCTTTGCAAGCTGAGAATCCAAAGCTAGCTCTCACTAGTGGACTCAAAGTTACAAGCTTTCACAAGATCTAGTCTAAAAGTGCACAAGATACATCCCAACAACCAATCTCTTAGGTTGGGAATGTTTCTCTCTATCGCTAGCTCTCTTAGGCATTAACGCAAACACCTTCTAGGTGTACTAGCCTAGATTCGCGACTTCAAGTGATCAAGAAGAAGCCGAGATATAAAGCTCTAGCTAAAGAAAAGCTGGTCAAGGGAGATTAAGGAAGAGGTTAACAGGAAGCTAAAGCTCTGACCTTTCCTAATCTCACCCTCGAAACCTCTAAAGAACTACTCGCTACTCATACTCGAACCGAAAGCAAAGAGGTAAAGAAAGCTAGAAATCATCATTAAGACAAGATTAGCAAACTAAGTACTTCTTAAACTTAAAAGATTCAAAGTAAAAGCTTACAAAAGATCTCCAAGAACAAACTGTTTTTCTTGGAGAGAAACTGGTTACAAGATAAAGATTGCCTAAAATTAGGTCTTAAAGGTTTATATAGAGAAGGGAAAAGTGTATCCTTTGGTCAACGTTTTTGCTTTGACTTCACAGATGCGCGCAGCTTGAGCAACTTCCTCAAGCACTCTGTTTCCTTTTGCTCAAGGCTCTGTTCCGTCTTGCTTGTTTTGCCATCCGATTACTCCGATCTCCTTCTGGTCCATCTCCGATCATCACCTCCGGTCCCTCCTTCGCCATAAGCTCCGAATACCTGATAAATGCACCCCAAATGCAATCCTAAAGGCTAAATGATCCTAAGTAGACTAAAGCTACACTAAATGTTATGAAATGGGACTCAATTATACACAGAACTATGCAGTATGAGAGGCTAAATGTATGCAAATGTTGAGTACATCAGGTAGTCATAACATTATCAGAGTTGGGGAGTGTTATGCCCCCCACGTTTGTACCTCGAAGCTGGAATCACAAGAGCAGTTTGTTGTGTATTACATGGGACAGAAGTAGGAGCAACAAAACTAGCGACATTGCTATCCTCTGGAGCAGATTTTAAACAACGTCTAATCTTATGTCCCAACTCACCACATCTACTACATTTAGTAGGTAACCAAGCATATTCCACATCCACCATAGATATAACCCCGCTATCATCACTTGCAGCAATTCTAGGAGGAAAAGCTTTGCTCAACTCTACTTCTACCAAAATTTTGGCTTCACCTAGTAGAATGGGATCCAAACGAGGTTTGTAAGTTGCCATTGGAGCACCTAAGCCAGAAGCTATGTGGCTAACTCCAGAGATTGAATACAGGATGTTGGGTATCTTTTTTAAGGTAACCCAAACAGGCATAGTCTTGATCTCAGGGATTTCTAAAGTCGCTTCTGGAGTCCATGAAGCAACAAACATCAAGCAGTCATCAACATGCCAAAGTCCCCTTTGAAGAACCCAATTCCTAGTTTCTTTGTCGGGTATATGGAAAAAAATAGTTGATTTACCCAACTTCCTAATGGTGATTTTGCAATTCCTTCCCCACAACTTGTTGAAAACCGCAAAAATAAGACCACCTGGTGGAGGTAAGCATCTATAGAACTGACCTAAGATGTACTCCTTCTGATTCTCTAAACCTTGTAACAGAACATGTTGAGGAATCATTACCTTGGGAGTGCCATCCTCTAAGTATTCTGGCTCTGTTGCTCTATATAGATTCCGAGAAGTTGGATTCATCTTTGCCGCCTAAGAAAAACGTAGATTGTCTTCCTTTCCAACAGGGTTCTGAGGAGCTTGTGTGACATCCTTAAAGGATTTACGTAAAGCTACTGCATTTCCCGTTTTCTTCATGCCATGAACCGTCAAGGCTGGCCAGACTTCTGGTGAAGAGATAATAGAAGCTACTTCTCCTCCAACACAGATAGTATCATCGATCAGTGATGAGGTGGAGTTGATTGTTAAAGGTTGAGCTCATGCTCCTAATAGAGATTGAGGGTTGGTCAAGGGCTCTGGTTTGCGTACAAACGGTGCAGAATTAGATAGACATCTGGTTTGATTTTCCATCCTTTCCACACCTTCTGAAGAAGAGTCTCTGTTACTAGGAGAAACCACATCTAGATCTCTTTCCTTGTTATCGGTTTCAAACCTCGCATCTTCTCTCTCCTCCCTCTCGTTCTCCTCATAGATCTCTTAGGGACAAAACATTGTTTCCTTCAGCCACGCGAACTCAGTGTTTTCGAAATCTGTTCGCCGTGCTTCTCTCTCGGTTACCACCATGGTGGCTGCTCCTGCGGTGGGTGGCGGGGAAGAGGAGGATACTATGGAGCTGAAGAAATACGTGAAATCGAGACTCCCTGGTGGTTTCCCAGCTCAGAAAATCATCAGCACTGGAGGCGTAAATGCACCATCACTCGTGTCGTCCTCTAGGAAGGCACCGAGAGAGTTATCGGGCATGTTCGTTAAACAATTGCAGCGTCAGCTTCCTGCGACTCAAAAATATAAGCTACTTGCAATCCAACACTGTGTGCACGTGAAAGTCTCACTCTCTTTTACAAATTGTTCGATAAAGAGTACCTAACACTGTATTTTATACTAAAACAAAAAAATCACATTGTATTTTATACTTAAATGTTCTTTAACAGCAAATACTCTAAACCAGAGAGAGTTTCTCATTTGCTTTAATCTTCACTTGTCTTGCCTTTGAATTGTTCTCTTCTTACTATAGCAAGCTTATCAGTTACATTGTTACTCGTTGATTCATGTGTTTGGTTAGGTCTTGATTAGGAAATTAAGGGGTTTACATAGCTGAACTGGCCTCTTATTCAAAGCTGAATTTTCCTTATTTCTGTAAACGCCCCGTAGTGTGACGGTTGCATGGCGTTCTGATATCTTGCGTATTTGACGCATTCTAACATTTGTTTTCACGAGTTTTATCGAGTCTTTCTAGTCTTTATCGAGTCTTTTCAGGTCTAAAGACGTTCAGGGAGAGCTTTGGTCACATGGACCAACAAGGGGAGAAAGCAGGCAAAACGGAGCCCAAAGGAGCTCGATCGAGTCACCTCAAGTCGATCGACTCAGTCTCAGAGATCGATCGACTCATCTTCACACCACAAGCTCGATCGACCCCATGCAAGCGAACCAGCTCGATCGATCCCGTTCGGTCTCAGCCGTCGATCAACCCGTTCGTCTCAGCCGTTCGATCCGTCCCACTCAGATGATATCACAGCCGTTCGATCTACTTGGTGCAAACCGACTCGATCGAACCGTAGCGAACCGGATTGAACCGAAGCTCGACCCCGAGCTATTTAGACCTATCTTTAGCCATTGTTTAGGCTACGCCGTTTTTCAGAGTTTTTCACTGTTTCTGAGGGAGAAGAGATCGAACCTCTGTTTTCACAGTTTGGAGAAGATTTCTGTATTTGATTCAATGACATTCATTTCAGTTATTGTTTGCTGTTTCGCCATGTCTGAGTAGTCACCCTGCTAGATCTAGGTTTTTCAAAGGGATTCATGTGTTAACTACTGAATACAGATAGGGCTTCATACTGTCTTCGCCATTGTTGCATTACTGCTTAGATCGATCTGATCACTCGATCTCTGATCTCAGATTACCTGTTCATCAAAAGTGCAATAGGTTGTTAGAACGAACTGTGGTGAGCGAATCGTCCTTAGCCTGCGAAAGTTGATGCTAGGCGATTCGTGAACTTATCGAACCTGTGTATTGCTTGCTTTCATTGCTAGATTCAAACGACAGTTTAGACATCTAGGTTGTTAGAAAGTTGTTAATTATCGCGAAAGTGAATTGACATACTGTTTTGTTTGAGTTCGAGACCTGTTCTTTATGTGCCCTGAATAGTTGTTTGGTTGTTAACCGTGAATCTCTGCGAATTGCCTTGGTCTAGTGCCTGTTTATTTGAATTACATCAACGTTTACATTCGTTACCTGTTACCAAATCAATCTTTTGTCTTAGCTCTGTTTTGAATCTCCTAGTTTCACAGTGTAACGCTGGTCCTCTGGATTTCGAATCCTTTATATTACAATCTTCATCACTGTATAATTTGCAGTAGAGAAAATGACCTATTTCTAGTTTATCAAATTTGGCGCCGTTGCGACGGGGACCAATTCGTTACCTTTGATTCTTGATTTGAAATTTAGTCTAAGATTTACTAACTTGTTCTCTCTCGTTTTTCTTGTGTGTGTTTCAGGTGCATGATCACTAGATCTCGACGGAGCAACCGCAACGAAGAGCTTCTCATCCTGTCCAACGCAGAACTTGCAGAGTAGAACGAGCAAACAGACAACGAAGGCCGAATCCAGCCGATATGGGCGATAACGGCAATCCAACATGGCTGCTCAGTTGCAGCAGCTTCAGCAGCAGATCGAGCAGATGCGGAAGGCTCAACAAGATAGAGAACCGCAACCACGTCCTTCTATTGGAGACAAGGACAATCCGCACACCTTCTATCAAAACCGGTCTGCGATTGTCCCTCCAAACGTCAGAGGCAAGACTTCGAGATCAAGCCCGGCATGATCGCTCTAGTCAAGGATCACATCTTCCATGGACTTCCTGCTGAGATTCCGGCGGACCATATCCAGAACTTTGAGGAGATATGCAGCACGACTGGTTCGAATGGAGTACCGGCTGACTTTCTGAAGTGCAAGCTATTCCCGTTCTCACTTGCCAACAAAGCATCTCGCTGGCTGAAGTCATTACCACCTGGGTCTTTGACTTCATGGGACCAAGTTAGAGCAGCTTTCCTGGACCACTTCTACACGAAGTCCAAGAATGCAGCTCTAAGGACGAAGATCGCATCTTTCCAGCAGTATGATGGAGAAGCTTTCTGCGAAGCATGGGAGAGATACAAGGAGTGCCGAAGAGAGTGCCCTCATCACGGATACTCTGACGAGCAGATCCTGAGCATCTTCTATGATGGAGTCAACTGGGACTACAGGAACGCTTTGAACGCAGCCAGCAATGGCGATTTCATGACGAAGTCCAAGGAAGGTGCATTCGAGCTGATCGAGAATCTTGCAGCGAGCTCGAGCAACAAGAACGCTGAGTACGACAGAACAGTGAGCACTGTATCTGTCAAAGGAAGCAGTGCTGAAGCGAAGAAGATTGAGGAGCTCACGGCCAAGGTGAATCTATTGATGAAGGCGCAGCAGAAGTCTGTTCATTTTGTTGACGAAAATGATGCACCTATCTCTCAAGAGTTTGGAGGAGAAGGATGAAGATGATCAGATGGAGGTCAACTATGTGAATGGGCAACCTTTTGTGCAGAACCGTGGTTTCAACTCGAACTACAGAAACCATCCGAACATGTCCTACAGGAGCACCAACGTCGAGAACCCTCAGGATCAGGTCTATCCGCCTCGATCGAACCAGAACCAGCAGAGTTATCAGAAGAGCTATCCTAACAGCTTCCAGGAGAAGACCTTGCCCCAAACCAGAATCGTTCTCAAGGTAACCAACAGAAGGCGCAGTTCAGCAATCAGCAACAACCTTCAGGTTCATCGAACAACTCGAACGATGAGCTTAAGGGTATGATGCAGCAGATGTTGATGAACCAGCAGAAGTCCACTGCGGAGACACACTTGAAGATAGACACCATGTACAACGATCTGAATGGGAAGTACGAAGCTGTGTGGACTCACGTGAAGAAGCTGGATGTCCAAGTAGCTCAAACCGCTGAAGCTGTGAAGAGACCTCATGGAACCCTTCCTGGGAAAGGAGAGCAAACCCCAGGAATGAGTATGTTGCACAAGTTGAGCTGAGAAGTGGAAGGAAGCTACCCTGCTGCGATTCCTCTGAAAAGGGCAGGCAAGGAGAAAGCCGACGAGAACCGGAACATGTGACTGAAGTCGATCGAGCTGTGATGACGCTCGTCGTCTCAGAACCCATTCTGATCCGACCTACCTACTCCTGCAGCTGCAGAGACTGCTCCAGCCAGAGCTTACACACCTAAGGTGCCTTACCCTGTTCCACGGAAGAAGTCGTGTAAGGAGATGTGAAGGACTTGACTGTGAAGCTGCCTCTGTCTGATGCTGTTCAGATGATTCCTGCTCTGAAGAAGTACATGAAGGAGCTGATATCTGGGAAAGTAGCTGAGGATGAGAACGTCATGCTAGTGTCGAGGAGTGCAGCGCTGTGCTGCAGAACAAGGTGATCAAGAAGAGGAGCGATCCAGGAAGATTTGTCTTGTCAGTGCAGATTGGCCATGACCTTCGCATGCTCTCTTTGCGATCTTGGCTCGAGCGTGAACCTGATGCCGTATTCTGTGGCCAAGCGATGGGATACACAAGTTCAAACCCACGAAAGTCTCCTTGGTTTTCGCTGACAGATCGACTAAGTTCCCAGTCGGTATACTTGAGGATCTACATGTGCAGATAGGGAACACACTCATTCCAGCAGACTTTGTAGTCCTCGAGCTCGACGAAGAGCCTAAGGATCCACTGATACTAGGGCGAAACTTCCTATGCACAGCTGGTGCAATCATTGATGTGAAGGGAGGAATCATTGATCTCCATCTGGGAGATATCGTCATGAGGTTCGAGATGAACAAACTCCTCAAGAAGCCAATGTTAGATGGGCAAACTTATGTGATTGAAGATGGCTCAAACTTGGTGGACGAAGTGAGTGAGGAGATGCTTCTTGACGACCCTCTGGAGGTAGCTTTGACTAAAGCTGAAGGCGAGTATGATTTCCTGAATGAGGAAGCCGATGGCTTCGGGAAGATGATGGATGCGAGCGGCAAGATGGAGAGACTGGTGGCGTTCATGAGCTTGGAGGATCGATCGAACTGCCAGATCGATCGAATGCACCTCAGAGAGTCCCGTCAACAGCCCTGGAGCGAGTCGAGTGCACCTAAGCTCGAGCTGAAAACACTCCCTGCGGGGCTCAGGTATGCATTTCTGGGACCTAACTCTACATACCCTGTGATAGTGAATGCTGAGCTGAACAATGTTGAACTTGCTTTGCTTCTCTGTGAGCTTAGGAAGTATAGAAAAGCTATAGGGTATTCGCTAGATGACATCCCTGGAATTTCTCCTGATCTTTGCATGCATAGAATACATCTAGAAGATGAATCGATGACTTCTGTAGAACATCAGAGGAGGTTAAACCCGAATCTAAAAGATGTTGTCAAGAAAGAGATAATGAAACTTCTAGATGCTGGTGTAATTTATGCTATATCTGATAGTAAGTGGGTCAGTCCTGTGCATGTAGTTCCTAAGAAAGGTGGTATAACTGTTGTTAAGAATGATAGGAACGAGCTGATACCCACTAGAACTGTCACTGGTCATCGCATGTGCATTGATTACCGCAAACTGAATGCTGCAACTCGCAAAGATCATTTTCCTCTCCCATTTATTGATCAAATGCTTGAGAGATTGGCTAACCATCCATACTACTGCTTTTTAGATGGTTACTCAGGTTTCTTTCAGATCCCCATCCACCCAGACGACCAGGAGAAGACGACATTCACATGTCCATATGGCACTTATGCATATCGCAGAATGCCGTTTGGACTGTGCAATGCACCGGCGACGTTCCAGCGCTGCATGATGTCTATTTTCACTGACCTTATTGAGGACATAATGGAAGTTTTCATGGACGACTTTTCCGTCTATGGAAGCTCCTTTGCTGTGTGTTTGTCTAATCTGTGCAGGGTATTGCAGCGGTGTGAGGAGAGACATCTTGTGCTGAACTGGGAGAAATGCCACTTCATGGTGAGAGATGGGATCGTGCTGGGACATAGGATTTCAGAGAAGGGAATCGAGGTCGACAGAGCGAAGATCGAGGTGATGATGAGTCTACAGCCGCCTAATTCTGTCAAGGGAATCCGCAGCTTTCTGGGGCATGCAGGGTTCTACAGGCGATTCATCAAGGACTTCTCCAAGATCACCAGACCTTTGACGCTGCTGTTGTGTAAGGAGGTCAAGTTCGACTTTGACAGTACATGTTGGAGGCCTTTCACACGATCAAGGGAGCTCTGGTGAGTGCTCCAATTGTCCAACCTCCTGACTGGAGCCTTCCGTTCGAGGTGATGACAGATGCTAGTGACTATGCTGTCGGAGCGGTTCTGGGCCAGAGAAAGGAGAAGAAGCTGCACGTGATCTACTACGCCAGTCGCACACTTGATGAAGCTCAGTGCAAGTACGCTACGACTGAGAAGGAACTATTGGCGGTGGTGTTTGCATTTGAGAAGTTTCGGTCCTATCTTGTTGGATCGAAGGTGATTGTCCATACTGATCACGCTGCCTTGAAGTACTTGCTGACGAAGAAGGATGCGAAGCCGAGACTCTTGAGATGGATTCTTTTGCTTCAGGAGTTCGATCTGGAGATCAAGGATAAGAAAGGGATTGACAATGGTGTAGCTGATCACCTGTCAAGGATGAAGATCGATGATGACGTCCCTCTAGACGACAGCCTACCTGATGAGCACGTCTACGCTGTTGAGGTGATCGATACGGCGAGCCCCTGCTCGCAGATGATGGAGTTCGATCGAGTGCAGAGAAGGAGATCGATCGAATGGATGACGGAGATCGTACTTGAGCTGTAACGCCGTTGACCGTTCCAGTTTCCCATGGTTTGGAGAGATAGCGAATTACCTCGCTGCTGAGCATGAACCTACTGGTTTTGTAGGGAACAAGAAGAAGAAGTTCTTGAGAGACATCAGGCGCTATTTCTGGGATGAGCCATACCTGTACAAGCACTGCACCGATGGAGTCTACAGGAGATGTGTAGCTGATGAGGAGATACCTGGGATCTTGTTCCACTGTCATAGCTCGTCTTATGCTGGACACTTCGCCACGTACAAGACTGTATCCAAGGCGCTGCAAGCTGGCTACTGGTGGCCCACCATGTTCCGAGATGCTCACAGATTCGTGTCTAAGTGTGATGTATGCCAGAGACAGGGGAACATCAGTAAGAGAAACGAGATGCCACAGAACTTCATTCTGGAAGTAGAGGTTTTCGACGTGTGGGGAGTTGACTTCATGGGACCCTTCCCATCTTCCTATGGAAACCTGTACATTTTGGTGGCTGTCGACTATGTATCTAAGTGGGTAGAGGCTTTGGCCAGTCCCACTAATGATGCAAAGGTCGTGATGAAGATGTTCAAGTCGGTGATCTTCCCTCGATTTGGTGTGCCGAGAGTTGTTATCAGTGATGGAGGTTCCCATTTCATCAATAGGACCTTCGATAATATGTTGAAGAGGCACGGGGTGAAGCACAAGGTGGCGACTCCTTATCATCCCCAGACGAGTGGCCAAGTCGAGCTATCTAACAGAGAGATCAAGAACATCCTTCAGAAGACTGCAGGCACGACTGGGAAGGACTGGGCTGCAAAGTTGGATGATGCACTCTGGGCCTATCGAACTGCCTACAAGACTCCTCTTGGTACGACACCGTTCAACTTGGTCTATGGCAAGGCTTGTCACCTGCCTGTGGAGTTAGAGTACAAGGCTGCGTGGGCAGTGAAGCAGATGAACTATGACATGAAGTCTGCGGCAGAGAGGAGGAACATGCAGTTGGTCGAGCTTGACGAGATTAGGCACCTGGCCTATGACAGTTCGAAGATCTACAAGGAGCGGACTAAAGCTTACCATGACAAGAAGATCCTGAAAAGGAACTTTTCCCAAGGAGATCAAGTCCTGCTGTTTAACTCCAGGCTGAAGTTGTTTCCTGGAAAGCTGAAATCAAGGTGGTCTGGGCCCTTCGTTATCAAGGAAGTCAGACCATATGGAGCTTTTGAGCTATGGGACAAGTCTGGTGGACACTTCGTGGTGAACGGTCAACGCCTCAAGCCATACCTTGCTGATACCGACATCACAGAGAGGGAATCTATTCCTCTCAGTGATCCATCTCCTGCCTAAGGCATTCAAGTCAAGCTAGTGACTTAAACCAAGCGCTTGGTGGGAGGCAACCCACTGGTAAGTGTACATACTCTCTTTTCAATTTGATTTCCTGCTAATTTTGTTTTCTTTGTTTTGAAAAAAAAAAAAAAAAAAAAAAAAAATCAGGAAACGAATCGGGTCCCCGCCCACCCGCCCGTCGACCGCTGGGCCCACCACCAGGTAAGTGAATCTTTCCCTTATCTCTCCACCACCACTCATTTTCTCACCACTCAATCTCTCCCTTGTAACCACACGAATTTCACTCCACCTCACATTACTCTCTCTTGTTCACCACGTCCCGACCATCTCCTTCATCTCTCATCACTTCCCTCACGATCACACTTCACTCAAGCCATACTCTCTCTTTCATCTCTCTCACCACACACACACCATTCACTAGCTTAACTTCACACACACGATCGACTCTCTCTTCAACTCACTTTATAATTTTGAATCTTTTCGTCTGCACCTCGTTATCTACATCTCTCTTGCTCACACCATGAGAAGCAGCAAGTATGATTTCGAATTCAATGGACCCTTTTGTGATTTTGAGAGAATCGATCGGTTTATGTGAATGTTGACTGTTTTAAATCGTGTTCGGTTGAGCAATTATTCTTTGTTTAGAACTGATGGAACCGATCGAATTGCTACTGTTTACTTAGAGGAGGTCGATTGTTGTTTGGACTTGAAAGTTCTTGATCATTTTGAAGAAACCTGTTCTACAACTCGACGGGTTCGATCGATTGCTTATAGAGGTCGATCGACTGCTGAAATGAGCTTGTGTTAAATCGATTGAGCTTTGTCGAGTTACTTATGCCGGGCTGACTTGTTCCCTCAGTTGGTGGATTTCAGGAACATAGACGCTTACTCGCGCCGGCGAGAAGAGATAGCGAGAGGGAACAGGCCCGTTGACTTTGACGATGACTTTGTGGAGGACGAGAATATGGAGGATGCCCCGTTTTCCGAGCCCACCCGAGATGAGGAACCTATTGATACGACGACGGAAGCAGAGATGAACCTCCTCCGAACATTTCTCGACATGAAGTTCGGCGGGACGAAGTACGCCGACCAAGACACCATGGAGACGCTCCGTATCGCAGACGATGTCGATGAGATGTTCAACAATCTCGGGATCGGGGCACTTATGTACACGCGGCACGAGTCTTACCGGAATGCGTCATGCCTTTTCCTCGCCACACTCGCCGACAATCTCTGTCCCGACGGCAAATACACATCTGACGGGAGCGATGGCTACATCAGCTTTTGGGCCACGGGACGGAGGCACCAATTCTCTTACAGAAAGATCGATCGAGCACTCTCTCTACCGCTGAGCAACCGCCACGGTCTTGATGTTGACAAAGACGAGATAACGGCTCTGTGGGGGACGATCGCGTTTGGGGACTACATCTCCTCAACCGCGAAGTCTTCTCACATCCGGAGCCCACCGATTCGCTACTTCCAGAAGGCCATCGCCAACACACTCTTCTCGAGACATGCGACCGGGAACGTGACAGAGAACGAGATGAGCATGATCGATGTGGCACTCACAGGCATCCCGCTGAGGCTGAACAACGGGACACAACTCAGAGGCAGTAGAGCACATGGAGGTATCACATGCATCCCGCTGCTGTGAACCAGCTTCGCTCTTACCAGGACTGGGCGTCGAGAAACAGAGACATCCGGCACAAGTGCGCGCTACGGATGGGCGACTTGATCATACCTCTCCTACGCGCAGTATGTTTTGCGCCTGATATGGCGGAGGACGTCACACCCCCGGAGGAGCTCGACCTCGATTACCTGAAGAACAGCGTCTTCCTGCAGAAGACGCCAGACGATGGACCGCTTCTCTATCAGTTCGTTCATCTTCAGTTCGACGCCTCTCGGATGTTGCTCCCTAGCCCCACCTGGACCACGATCAGAGGAGGGTCCAACGTCGAGTTCAACCCGCCTCAGTCAGCGCTTTACACGCCTTCTCGCTCGACCACACCTCCGGCGACCACGCAGCGCTACGATCAGTCTCTGGCGGACGAGACTATGGCTGTGGATGAGCTTTTCCATTTCTATTTCCCGGAGTACACCACCATGCCAGACAGAGCACCGGACTGAAGGCGGCTCACAAGCGCATCAGCCTCCTCCAGCGGTAGAACAGGACGCATGACAAGATTACCAAAAAGCTCAAGAACAAGATGAAGAAAATGGCTGATCAGATCAGAGCCATGCAAGACAAGTTGAGTTGTGTTGCCTCAGCATCAGGAGGAGTACAGAGGACCGCAGTCGTCCCACGACCAGTGGATCTCTCCGAGGACGAGCCTCACCACGACACCATTGGCGGTCGGCCACCGCCTCCTGACCAGCCACGTCATTCCTCCTTCGAGCCGCGACAGCATCGGAAGAAGCGCCACCGAGACCACCACACCGCGAGATCATCCGACGCACAAGCTGACGCGGACTTGCCATTCAGGCGATGCAGCTCTGTTTCGAGACAGACGGCGCTGACGGATCATCACACTCCGCCGACGAGAGCTCCACCGGACCAGTACAACACGGAGTGAGTTGCACCTTCGACCGCCCCTCCGTACACACAGGAGAGCATGCAAGACGATCTCGACGCGATCATTCACGGCCGCCGTTGATGCTCCTTCCCGACTCCACTCGCCCAACCACCACCACTGTATTATTCCATTTTCCCTTTTCTTTTTCTTTTATTGAGTCTGTTTAACTCTCTCTTAGATTTATTTTCACACCGGGTCGGTGCGAAGTAAGTCCGGGGGAGGGTCTTTGTGTTTACTAACGTCATTTTGTTTCTTTTGTTTTGTGTTTCACCTTGAGTCATTTTGATGTTTTCTTTGAGTCATGTTTTATTGAGTCAAAAAAACTTGTTGAGAATAATGAACTTATCTGATAATGTTTTGCAACCACTTATGCTCTTGAATTCTTTCTATCTAGTGACCAATTGTGCAAGGTTTGTTATGTGTAAAAAGCTGGATTACCCTTTTGGTCAGACTTCCCCCAGGAATTTTCGTTTTGCAGAGATTTTGGTGAAACATCTTGTTGACTCTAATGATATTCGACCACTAATCTGACTTCAATTACTTCTCATTCGGAATGTCATAGCAGGGAAATGGATCATACACTCAGGACTTCTTATTCATTCTACCACTCTCTGTTGATCCTGAGTGGCTAGCCCATTTTTGGTTGGTTTCCCACCTTGAACCTTACCTCCTTTCTGACTTCATGCACTCTGTTCTTCTATGTCATATATGCAGATATGTGCAAAAACGTCGGAGAGAAAGGTTCGACACAGCTTCTCAACCACATTCAAGACGAGTGTTCATCTATAACACTGAGAATGGGAAGTGATGGTGGAGTATGGAGCTTAGATCGATCGAACTGATGGTCATTCCTTGGAGAAACACGATTACACGGCAACACTTACGAGCTCATTGACACTATAAGGAGTTGAAGAGTGAAGTGGTTGGGAAATGTGGCTATCAACAGAACCATTCTCTCTTGTTGTTTTGCGCGATAACATGCATCCTCCGGCGTATCTGGTAACCCTTAAACACTTTAAACTCACCGAGACAGGCCTTTTGATACCCAACACCGTCGACCCTGTATGATATTCTTGATGAGAGGTCCACGCCAAATCTTAATGAATGTAGAGAGTTAACCAATGTGTAGCTAGAGTTTCTGCAGGATGGAGGTTCATCAAGGGATCAGGAATGCAAGGCTTCAAGGGGACTACAGTGATTATGCACTGACCGAACCTTGTTCATTGAGGTCTACTGATTTTCCTTCGGGTATGGTTGCTGATGATTTGTGAGTTCCCGCGTTTTCAAACCTCTTCTCTATTCTTGGAATTTATGTTTGCTTGAGGGCAAGCAAAAGACTAAGTCCGGGGGAGTTGATATCTTGCGTATTTGACGCATTCTAACCTTTGTTTTCACGAGTTTTATCCAGTCTTTCTAGTCTTTATCAAGTCTTTTCAGGTCTAAAGACGTACAGGGAGAGCTTTGGTCACATGGACCAACAAGAGGAGAAAGCAGGCAAAACGGAGCCCAAAGGAGCTCGATCGTGTCACCTCAAAGTCGATCGACTCAGTCTCAGAGATCGATCGACTCATCTTCACACCACAAGCTCGATCGATCCCATGCAAGCGAACCAGCTCGATCGATCTCGTTCGGTCTCAGCCGTTCGATCGATCCCGTTCGGTCTCAGCCGTTCGATCCGTCCCGCTCAGATGATATCGCAGCCGTTCGATCTACTTAGTGCAAACCGACTCGATCGAACCGTAGCGAACCGGATTGAACCGAGCTCGACTCCTGAACCTATTTAGACCTACCTTTAGCCATTGTTTAGGCTACGCCGTTTTTGAGAGTTTTTCACTGTA